CCAAAGTTCCTTACCCTTATGCACGAATTTTTGAATAAGCGCAGAAACACCCTCTTTAACTTCTATTCTGATGGACTGAATATCTTTCATAAGGAATCGTAAAAAGATGCTTAACCCAAAAGAAGCGTAGTATTTGAATACAAAAACAAATACTATATAATCTTTTACTTTTTTTCTTATTGGAAAAAAGAGTAAAAATCGATTTTAAAAGAGAAGTGGAAGAGGAAGTTGAGATTGTGGGAGAGTGGATAGGGTGGAGCGATAAAATGGGACAAGAAACGGATAAAATAAATTCTAATAATATTAGTTATTTATATATTAGTGCAGAAAAAATAAAAAATATTCCAAAATTTGTGGGTGAAACACGTATACAAAATGCTGAGTTGATAAGCTGAGAGTAATTTTAGGAATCTCTTTCTAACTTCTGTTTTATAAGATAAGAGATTTCTAGTGTGCAATCTCGGGAGGCTAGCTCCAGTTTGTTTACTATATAAATATTAATGTTTCAATTACTGTATTTTCCATTTGTGTGGGTCCCAAATGATTTCTGCACCACTTTTGGCTCTAGAGATTTTGGTTGTAAATACTGTAACTGTTACTTTAAATATAAATAGAAGTCTGTTTGGTTATACAAACTATAGAAGCTGTAACTGTTATTTAATAATTACAGATAACATTTTGTCAATAATATAAATTAGAGAAATTTCAAATAATGCCACTTTTCAAGTGTCATTTTACAAAAATACCACACTTTTAAAATCTTTACAAAAATGCCACTTTTTCAAAATTATTTTTCAATATATTATTTATGTTTGGGTTAATTATGTTCTATTAGGGTTTAGTTTTGAGTGTTTATGAGGTTTTAGGTGTCAAAAGATTTTTTAGGGTTTAGAATTTTAAGATATATGCTTTATAAATCTATAATTAGTGATATTTTTGTAAATGGACACCTCTAAGTGGTATTCTTACAAATGTGTACACAAAAATTGGCATTTTTGTAATTGCCCCTATAAATTATAAAATATTTATATTAGTAGCATAATTAAGCAGTTCCAAAATAACTATCAACAAAAAAATACAAAATCATAGAAATTAAAAAATTTGTATTATTAATATAATTAATCATTACCAAGCGGCTAATAGATTAGCGTAATCTTAGTTTTGATTTTCCAAGATTACATGTTGAAGTACACACATATAAGACTCGTCCGACACAAATTATATTATTCGACTAAATAATATTTTTAATAAATCATTCTTTAGCAAAATTAAAAATATATCTAAATATACTTAAAATAGATCTCAAAAGAATATATAAAAATAGATAATAATTAATCAATCAAAATATTTAGTAATAAACAATGTATAAATCTGCAAACAATTTTGAATACATTTGGGAAAAGAAAAAATTTAATGGCTAAATCCTCATTTACCCGTCTTTAGAACAAAAGAGCAAAAAATGACAAAAAATTTAAAGACAAGCTTTCAAAATTTTAAAATAAAAACTTTAAAGCATGTTTGGCAAAAAACAATCTTTAAAAATTGTAGAATTCTCTAAGCCTTAAAAGACTATTGTCATGCACCTTCTTAATGAAGTGAACTTTCTTAGGGTGTATATGAAAAAGTTCTTTGGGATGAACTTATTGAACCTTCTTTTTTTTGGATCAAACTTAATTTAATTTAAAAAAATTACTTAAGACACTATTAAAGTGTCACCATTAATGATGCTCTTACGTTTTAAATACAATATTATTAATGGTTCGTCCCGGACAAAAAATAGAGAATCGAAATTTCCAGATTAGAAAGAACAAAAAAAAACAATTTGCGTGGTAATATTGATTTAAAGAAGAGATTAAATTAAAGTGCAATAATTGTTTCATACTCAATAGTCAATAGTATGTTTCTCCTTTGTAGTTACTTCTTAATTAGTCTTCGTTCAGGTTTGCTAGATAATTCGAATTCCGAATCAGAACCAATTAACCAACCAAATTTTTTTTTGTCAAAAAAGTAAAACACGGTCTAACTTCAATTCCAATTAGAATATAAAAAGGTGTTAACATATTAGTCCGATTTATCTGGTTTATTTGACAGATTTTTGTTTCATCGCCAATATATCTGATTTACTGATGGATTTTTTTTGCCGTTTGGTCGAAAACCCTCTATCCATTTTGTAGCATTTTTTTGTAGCATTTCGCCAGATTAATTACATAAGTTTAAGCCATAATATATCCTATCAAAAAGAAAAATCGATAAACAATTTAAATTTATATAGCACAACGAATTAAACCATTAATGAAAAAAAGAAGAAAATGACCCGATGAGTGAAAGAGACATAAGAAACGGCCTCGTTGTGCCATGAAATATTTTAGAAGAGCCCATCCGTAATCTATAGATTAGTAGGACACCTCTAAGTTTAAATAATTATCGTTATACCTAATGACATTAAATTAATGTTCCATTTTTTGTTGTTGAGAAAAGGCATTTTAATTAATGTTCCATGCATCAATCAATAAATTAATGTGTGTAGTTTGCTAATCCTCGGAACATAATCCATCCCAAACTTCCCTATATATATACTTATGTACACTACTCCCATACGAACCA